CTTTAAATGTGCACCAATTCTCACAATTTACTTTACTCAAAGGTCATCATCTAATCATTTATTCATTTGTTTTTCCATGACACATAAATCTATTTTATGTAGTTGTTAAAAAACCTTGATCAAATGCATACATTAAGCTGATATACATCAAGCAAAATTGGATTCTAGGCTTTGAATGACAAATAATTCACAAAATTGATTTTTCAGCACGACCAAAGATAACACACAGAAAGAAAAAATGTGGTATTTTTTATTCAATTTTGGTAGATTTAATATAAAATTAACCAACAACGAATTAAATTTACCATTTTTGACATGTCTGAGGCATATTTTTCAAAAGTGACTATTTGTTGAATAAGTTTTACCAACTGCTTCATTACATTTACCAACTTTTCGAAACCACAGATGACGCTAGCCCATGAATTTGGTGAATGAAATGAAGCAATTGGTAAAAATTATAAAACTGATAGTCTCTTTTGAGAAATATGCCTCAGAGATGTCAAAAATGGTAAATTTAGTTCGTTGTTGGTTGATTTTATATTAAATCTACCAAAATTGAATTAAAAATACCACATTTTTTCTTTCTGTGCATTAACTTTAATATGGAAAAAGGAAACCTTTCTTCATTTAAAATGAATAATTTTATTTCATTTTTTCCCAGCGGGAAAATGATAATTGTGAGAACTTCAGACACATGAAGATACAATTTTTCTATGTAATTGATCACGTTGATACAAAGCCAAATAAATTGCTTTAGAAAATCAATTATTTGTGGTTTCTTTGATAGATAGTCGTTTAGTTTTTAGGAGAAAGCACATTTTTCACCGCAACAATTCATATTTTCCAATAATTCTTTTTTATATGGCATGTATAAGCAAAAAAAAGCAACAATTTATTCAACGGAATTCAAACTCACAGTCAAATTTGAATAACTAATTATTACCTTCTAAAAATAAACGATGTTTGCCATGAAACTAATGGTATATAAGCGATGAAAACACCATTGCATGGTGCATTTGAATACGAGCAGTAATATGGTCGCTACTTTTTAAATAAAACTGCACAGTTTGTAATATTTTATTCGTTGTTCTAACTTTGTCGTTGTTCTTTCCTTTTTTAATAGAGGATAATTGAAATAAAAGCCAATAACGTGTAAACATTCAAGCTCTATTTCAATTCATCATTTATGGACTTGGAAATATAAAAAGTTTTTATCTGTTAATCAAAGAGAACTACCACATTAAAATAAAAATCAAAAAAAAAAAAACTCATAATAAAAATTGTGAAAATGGAAAAATTCGAAGTACTCAAATACAATCAGATCTCAATGGGTTGGTTGGGAATTCATTCGAAGCGCTTGAACGAACCGACCAATGAATTCTTCAGATCATTTGTTGCTTTCTTCATTCTGTTCAATGTGGTATCGTTTACAATCATTTCAAGTGTCGTGTACGTGTATATACACATACATAGCTTCGAAATGATCGCGGAGCCCTTTTTAGATGCGTGTTGTGGCACACAAGTGGCGGGTATGTTTATATGCATCGGAATCAACATGAAAAAAGTAAAAAAATTACATCTTGTACTACAAGAGCTCGTCGACAAGGGTACGAAACATTTCCTTTTATCAATTTTTTAATGCAAATCATGCGATGGTGTCTTTCTCTTGTTTTCACTTAGATC